GTAGAGTAGAGTAGAGTAGAGTAGAGTAGAGTAGAATAGAATAGGATAGAATAGAATAGAATAGAATAGAATAGAATAGAATAGAATAGAATAATAGAATAGAATAGAATTAGAATAGAGTAGAGTAGAGTAGAGTAGAGTAGAATAGAATAGAATAGAATAGAATAGAATAGAATAGAATAGAATAGAATTAGAGTAGAGTAGTGTAGAGTAGAGTAGAATAGAATAGAATAGAATAGAATAGAATTAGAGTAGAGTAGAGTAGAGTAGAGTAGAGTAGAATAGAATAGAATAGAATAGAATAGAATAGAATAGAATAGAATAGAATAGAATAGAGCTGGAAGGGATCTTGGAGGTCTTCTAGTCCAGCCCCCCTACTGAAGCAGGAGAACCTATACCATTCCAGACTAGTGACTATCTAGCCTCTTCTTAAAAACCTCAAGTGATGAAGCACCCATGGTTTCTGAAGGCAAATTGTTCCACTGGTTGATTGTCCTCACTGTCAGGAAGTTTCTCCTTAATTCCAGGTTGCTTCTCTCTTTGATCAGTTTCCAACCACTGTTTCTTGTCCTGCCCTCTGGTGCTTTGGAGAATAATTTGACCCCCTCTTCTTTGTGACAGCCCCTCAAACACTGGAATACTGCTATCATGTCACCCTTATTTCTTCTTTTCTTTAGACTGGCCAAACCCAATTCCTGCAGCCGTTCTTCACATGTTTTAGTCTCCAGGCCTTTGATCATTGCAGTTGCTCTTCTCTGAACTTTTTCCAGAGAAGATGTAGCATTCTCTCACATGACAAGAGAACTGTTGGGGACCCAGCCATGAGTAAATCCAATACTTTTTAAGGGCTTTTTAAAGCAAGATAAAAAAAGGAGGGAATACTGTTCCAGAAAGCAGGAAGAATGAAAGAGAAGGCATGCTTTCCTGGATCCTATCAGATGACCTTGTTTTATTGATGAGAAAAAAACAATGCATTTATTCATTCATTTGTATCCGGCCTTTATTATTTTCACAAATAACTCAATGCGGCAAACATATCCAACACACCTCCCTCTTCTTACTTTCCCTACAACAATTACCCAGTGGGGACGGTTGGCTTTCATGGCTAAGGCAGGACTTGAACTCATGATCCCCTTCTTTCTAGCCTAGTGCTTTAACCCAATGCCCCCAATCTTTGGGGCACCAGGGATCGGTTCCATGGAGAGAGGTTTTTCCACAGACCAAAGGGGGCGCTGTTCCGTGTGATGCCTGAATCCCGTGGATGGGGCTTCATGTGTTTGCGCGGCCCAGTTTTCTGGCATGCCATGGCCCGGTGCCAGTCCACAGACTGGGGGGTTGGGGACCCCTGTTTTGACCAAGATCAAACTGGCTATAAATAATCAGTGCATATTCTCCACATGCTATAGAGGCCCACTTACCAAGGTTTGCCAGCTTATCTTTCTGGTTAATGGCTTTCAGAATGTAAACTTTGGAAGAGATATTTATATCTCAGTTAGCTAGTAGTTTGAAGGCCAACTTGGTGAAAGTTCTGGACTTGTTTGGCTTGAGGTTTGTGTATTGGACCCAAGAGCTGTTTGTGTATGGGCCCAAGAGCTGTCGTTGTACATGCTGTAATTCACCTACTGTTTAGTCTACTGTAATCTGTGCTCTGCAGAGCTGACCTTGAAGAATATTCTCAATATATTTTTGTTCAGTCGCTAAGTCATGTCCAACTCTTCATGATCCTGGGGATCACAGAACGCCACCCCCACCCCAATCCTCCACTGTGTCCTGGGGTTTGTCCAAACTCATTCCCACCACATCAATGACCCCATCTAACCATCTCATCCTTTGCTGTCCCCTTCTCTTTTTAGCTTCCATCTTTCCTAACATCGGGGTCTTTTCCAAGGAGCCCTCTCTCTTCATTAGGTGGCCAAAGTCTTTGAGCTTTCTCTTATGCTATGTTTTGTTTTTTTCTTTTGGTTCACATCACTGCCCATAAATAAGACAAACGGGTTGTGGTTTAAAAACCGTTTAGAATAAACCACTTGTATTTATTTTAACAAGTAAGAGAACTGGAGCAATTTATTCAGGGACTTTAATGTTTCAGGGATGCTAAGATATTTGCCAGGCTGCCCACCCTTGATGGTGCTACCCCAGTTCATTCATATTCTATGGCAGACATGTCAAACACAACACACGGGGGCCGGATGCAGCCCGCGGAGTGGTTTCATGTGGCCCGCGAAGCCATCCTGGAGACAGTGAGGGAACGGCCCCCAATGCCTTGGCCCTGGCCCAGGCCAGCCGGGAGCCAATGTACAATTTTGTGGTGGCCATCTATGCTGAAACACATTCAGTCTTAGCTCCACAAGGCCGTCTGGAAACAGCGAGGAACCAGCCCCTTCCGTGTCACCCCCACCCCCTGGATGCATGCTGGGGAGGGGTCACCCTTTGTGAGGAATCTAGAAATGGCCCATGCCTTGGCGCTTGCCCCGGTCCCACCCCCTTCTGCCAGAGACCCTCAGATCTGTCCCACTCCTGCCCAGGCCCCCACAGGCACCCTTGACGCGAACGATGTAGAGCTGGCCATGCCCACCCAGTAGGCCACACCCACTCCAATCCACACCCACCCGGTAGGCCGCACCCACCCTGGCCACACCCACCTGGCCCCCCGAGGGCAACCACAATGCTGATGCGGCCCTCAGTGAAATTGAGTTTCTATGGTATACAGCTGGTTACTTTATTATGACAATATCCAACACTGTGCACCATCAATATAATTACTCAGGACACCATTTCTAAATAACACTTGTCACAACTAGTGATATATATATATGTATATATACAGAATAGAATATAGAATAACAGAATTGGAAGGGAACTTGAGGTCTTTTAGTCCAACCCCCTCCTCAAGCAGGAGAACTCATGCCATCCCAGTCAAATGATTGTCCAATCTCTTTTTATGCTTTTCTGTCTTTCATCTGACTAAACTTCCCATTACGATTAGAATTACAAAGCTAACCTCATTTCATCTTAGACGTTTCCCACGTCTACAAAAATGTCCTTTTCTTTAGTAAGTCTATATATACAATTTATAGTTGCCCTTGCACTAGACACACATCCTGAAATGTGGCTGAGAGGCCAGGAGCTTTTATTCACATGGGGTACATTTAGATGCTTGGTTCTTTCTCTTTTTTAAATAATATTCACCCCTGGCAAGGCACTAAATACATCCTGTTAACTGGCAAACAAAAGTCTACTTTAGTCAACCGATCGATAAAGCCATATCTCATTTGGGAGCATAGCGAAGTTTTGAAATAGTTCTCGGAGCTATTTAAACTGCGATACACAGATATGAACAATGGCAAATACTTTTACGATATGGGTTTTATGGACGGGCTGAGTTTGTGCAGGGCAAAATGTGTTTGAACAAGGAACCAGTTTCCACCAGTTGTAGAACCACGTCCTTAAACACAAATATGCCGGAGACCCCCAACTCAATGACCTGGTGGGGCCATCAATAACATTATCTGGCATCACTGAAGGGGCCGTATGGAAGAGGGTCTCTAGCTGAGTGTTTGCTTGCAGAAATAAGCAAACAAAATTCTTTCCAAGAGGATTGCATAGATACTCTCCAAATAAACTTGATAAACCTAAATTTAATTTTTTAACTGCACACGGCCTAGAGTCACGCTGTGAGTGAGATGGGCAGTCTCTAAATTTGATATAAACCTAAATATATAGAATAACAGAATTGGAAGGGACCTTGGAGGTCTTCTAGTCCAACCCCCAGTCAAGCATACAAATGGCTGTCCAATCTCTTCTTGAAAACCTCCAGTGATGGAGCACCCACAATTTTTGGAGGCAAGCTGTTCAATTCGTTAATTGTTCTTGCTGTCAGGAAATTTCTCCTTAGTCCTAGGTTGGTTGTCTCCTTGACTGTTTCCATCCATTGCTTCTTGTCCTAAAATAAATGAATTCCAATCAAATACGCATCAGATAAGTTTTGCATTTATTCTAGTTGGACAATATTAATTTTTTTCCTTGAATACAAAGATTACAGCTTCCAAACTGACTTCCATTAACATTAGTGGTCCACTGAGAGGCTGCCACAAGAGACACAGAGAGATATTCCATATGCAGACATTGGGACTTCTCCTCCTTCTCCTTCTCCTTCTCCTTCTCCTTCTCCTTCTCCTTCTCCTTCTCCTTCTCCTTCTCCTCCTCCTCCTCCTCCTCCTCCTTCTCCTTCTCCTCCTTCTCCTTCTCCTTCTCCTCCTCCTTCTCCTTCTCCTTCTCCTCTTACTCCTCCTCCTGCTCTCCTCCTTTTCCTGTCTATATTCTCCTCCTCCTCCTCCTCCTCCTCCCTCCTCCTCCTCCTCCTCCTCCTCCTCCTCCTCCTCCTCTCCTTTTCCTGTGTATATTCTCCTTCTTCTGTCTATATTCTCCTCTTCCTCCTCCTCCTCCTCCTCCTCCAACCCAAAGGCAACTCCTTTGAAATAAGGATTAGTAGCTATTTACTGATAGATTAATACTTCACTTTCATTACTATTCGAAATTACAACGTGCAGAATACTAAGAGGTTTCGCATTCTGGTGACTTCTTTGACAAATATATTTCACTGCTTTCTTTGATAAAGAATTCTTAAGGTAAATTCTTAAGACATGGAATTCTGAATTGCATTGAAGAAGACCAGTGTTTCAGACTTAAGTTCCTTAAAGGGGGAAAAAAATAGTTTAATGTATTTTTTAAAAGCAAAAATTACAAATAATAGTTTCTATCAATACAAGAGTATTATTTGGAAGACTGGATAAAGCTATTTTGGATGCTTAATAAGTCAAGTGATTTAAGTAAAAGCAAGGAAATCAATTTGTCACAGAATTTTTTTTTGCTTCACTTTTATTGGGATCATAATTCTTTTCTTCAGTTGTGTTGGGTTTTTTTAGTTGCGGAAAATATCTCGAACGAAACGCATCGCCTGTGGAAGCTAAATTAATTTCAGATTTTTCTTTCTTTTGCAGAATTACAGGAAACCAAGACATCCCAATTTTACTCTCTTTCCCATCACCCCTTGGACTACAGGATATTAGTGATGGATGAAGATCAAGACCGGATCTACGTTGGCAGCAAAGATCACATTTTGTCGTTGAATATCAATAACATAAGCCAGGAGCCACTGAACGTAAGTTCACGGTGTGGTTGAGAATGGAAGATTTTCTAGTTAAAAGTTTCGCATGAAAAATGGAGGGATAACAATATGTCTCATTCTTCCATTAATAGTGTTCTGTCCCAGCCTACGTGAGTCCTTGTTAACTCACAAGGAGAAACCCTTCTTTCAACAAGTAGGCTGGAACCGCAGGAAAAACAAACCCCTTTTATTAGTATTTACAGACCTGCAAAATGTCCAAAGGCAAAGGCCAAACAAACACGATTCAATGAAACTTGATTCTTTCTCAAACGGAAAATTGTTCCAAAGGCACAGGCAAACAAAACATGATTCAATGAAACTTGATTCCTTCCCAAACGGTTGCCTTCGGCAACCAGCACCTCCCACACCTTCCCTTTTATTATGCAGCCCAAGGCGTGGCTTCCTAATGCCTTCTCCTTTGCCTTTGGAGCCGTCCCATTTCCTTCCTCTGTCCAACTCTCGTTGCCTATAGACGTTTGCGAGCATCTATGACAGACATGTCAAACACAAGGCCCGGGGCCCGGATGCGGCCTGTGAAGTGGTTTCATGTGGCCCGCGAAGCCATCCTGGAAACAGTGAGGGAACGGCCCCCACTGCCTTGGCCCTGGCCCAGGCCGGCCGGGAGCCAATGTACAGTTTTGCGGTGGCCATCTATGCTGAAACACATTCAGTCTTAGCTCCACAAGGCCGTCTAGAAACAGCGAGGAACCAGCCCCTGCCGTGTCACCCCCACCCCCTGGGTGCATGCTGGGGAGGTTTCACCCTTTGTGAGGAATGAAGAAATGGAGCATGCCTTGGCGCTTGCCCTGGTCCCATCCCCATCTGCCAGAGACCCTCAGATCTGTCCCACTCCTGCCCAGGCCCCCACAGGTACCCTTGACACGAACGATGTAGAGCTGGCCATGCCCACCCAGTAGGCCCCACCCACTCCATCCATGCCTACTCAGTAGGCCACACCCACCCTGACCACACCCATCAGCCCCCCCAAGGGCAACCACAATGCTGATGCAGCCCTCAGTGAAATTGAGTTTGACACCCCTGGACTATGATGTCTTCCAGCTGTGAGTCCTCAGAGTCTGACTCAGCTTCCCAACACAGCTGTGTCTCAGCCTGAGCACGAGTAGAGGGGCCAGGCTCCTCATCAAATTGTAAGTCTTGGAGCTCCTCAGAGCCTTCCTCCGACTCTGATGGCTCTCCAGGCCCCTCCTCCTCCTCCTCCTCCTCTGATTCCCTGGACTCAGCTGCCACTGGCTGGCGAGGAATCCCAACAAATAGACTGAATGAATTTTCTACGTTCCGTCAACAATTTTGCTTAAAATATGAACGAGACAGTATTTTCAATCAATACACCACTTTCCCTGCCAGGCTACAAATGTTTATCAGGTCAAAGTTTTCAAGTTTACCAAAAGATTGTGAAGTCATTTAAGGATGGGTGTGAAGTAGAAAAACCCCTGGGGTAGGATTTGAAAGTCTAAATATCTTGGATCAAAACGGTTGACAGGTCGGGTGGAAACTGATTACTCCTATGCTGGTTCAAAATCTACTTGATTTTCAATCCTCTACTAGTTAGTCCCTTTCTGAAGGACAATGCAAGGGAGCAGATGGAAAACCTTAATCTTGAAGAAAAGGGAGAGGATGTGGCTGTGTTACAAAATAGAAGATAAATCCCTGGAGCTTTTATCTCCAGCTGAAGTTGCCCAGGATTTCATGAAAATGTTTCATTGAATAGTTTCAGACAGGAATATCTGAAACCACCTGAATTTTCTTTCCCAACCGTAGTCTGATCTCACATCTGCTGATTGCTTTTGGGGAGGAATCTGTACAGTACAATTAATATTATATTGTATTATACTACTAATATTATTATATCATTAAAATATAAAGAATAAAATTACATGGTGGTAAGAGGTCCTTTTTTCCTTTTTTCCATGGTGGTAAGAGGTCCTTCCTTCCTTCCTTCCCTCCCTCCCTCCCTCCCTCCCTCCTTCCTTCCTTCCTTCCTTCCTTCCTTCCTTCCTTCCTTCCTTCCTTCCTTCCTTCCTTCCTTCCTTCCTTCCTTCCTTCCTTCCCTCTCTCCCTCCCTCCCTCCCTCCCTCCCTCTCTCTCTCCCTTCCTTCCTTCCTTCCTCCCTCCCTCCCTCCTTCCTTCCTTCCTTCCTTCCTTCCTTCCTTCTCCGTGGTAATAAAAATAAATATATATATTTTTTAAAAAATATATCTTTCCAAACATTGCCAGCCCTGTGCACGGATGTCCCATATGTGCCATCTGTCTTGCTTAACAAGGAACAGGCTCTGTTTTGAAATGATGCCTGAAGGATGCCTTTTAAAAATATCCTCCGTCTGTGAAGAAGTTCAGGAGTTTTGTTTCTCTAATGCCTCATACTTGTCAGGTCCCAACAATGAAGATGAATGAATGGGTTCGCCTCTAAGGGCAGCCCAATTTACTAAGAGTTTAAATATTCTGTTAATATTGTGTTCTTAAAAAAAAACAGCTAAAGAAATATGCCAGAGGTGCTACTGTCTTAGCGTATTTACTGATATGCTAAATGAATGCAGTCCAAAATTTTGGCAATATTAACAGAAGAGCAGAATAACAGAGTTGGATGGGACCTTGGAGATCTTCTAGTCCAGGGGTAGGGAACCTTGGCTCTTTTATGACTTGTGGACTTCAATACCCAGAATTCCTGAACCAGCCAGGCTGACTCAGGAATTCCCTACCCCCTGCTCAAGCAGGAGACCCTATACCATTTCAGTCAAGTGGCTGTCCAATCTCTTCTTAAAAACCTCCAGTGATGAAGCACCCACAACTTCTGAAGGCAAGTTGTTCCACTGGTTAATTGTCCTCACTGTCAGGAAGTTTCTCCTTAATTCCAGGTTGCTTCTGTCCTTGATTAGTTTCCATCCATTGTTTCTTGTCCTGCTTTCTGGTGCTTTGGAAAATAAGTTGACCCACCTTTTCTTTGTGGTAGCTCCTCAAATACTGGAATACTGCTATCATGTCCCATCTAGTCCTTCTTTTCTCTAGACTGGCCATATCCAATTCCTGTAATCGTTCTTCATATGTCTTTGTCTTTGTCTCCAGGTCCTTAATAATCTTAGTTGCTCTTCTACCTACCTGTAGTATTTTTACCTGTACTACTTCAGAGTCTCCCAAGAGCGATTTTGTTGCTGTTCAGTTGCTGAATCATGTCTGACTCTTCATGACCCCATGGATCATAGCATGCCAGACTCCCTTGTCTTCCACCATCTCACCCTCTGCCATCTCCTTCTTCTTTGATAAGGCATGTTGTGGGAAGAACTCAATGAATCTCAAGGTGTTCTAATTTCCTGGCTAATGTCCATTCATCACACAGGAGACTTTGACAACTTGTTGGTCAGTCACTAAGTCATGTCCAACTCTTTGCGACCCCCATGGACCACCACACACCAGGCTCCTCTGTCTTCCCCTGTCTTCCGGAGTTTCTCCAAATTCATGCTCATTGTGTTGATGACACTATCTATCCATCTCCTCCTCTGCCGTCCCCTTCTCCTTTGGCTTTCCATTTTTCCCAACATCAGAGTCTTTTCCAAAGAGACCTCTCTTCTCATTTGGTAGCCAAAGTATTTGATCTTCAGCTTCAGCATCTGTCCTTCCAAAGAACAGTCAGGGTTGGTTTCCTTTAGTGTTGACTGATTTGATTCTTTGAAGTCCAAAGAACACTCAAGAATCTTCTCCAACATAGAATTGGATAGGTATCCCTTTGGAATAGAGTAGAGTACTGCATCCAGTTTTGGTCACCATGATGTAAAAAAGATGTTGAGACTCTAGAAAGAGTACAGAGAAGAGCAACAAAGATGATTAGGGGACTGGAGGCTAAAGCATATAGGGAAGGGTTGCTGGAATTGGGTATGTCTAGTTTAATGACGAGAAGGACGAGGGGGGACATGATAGCAGTGTTTCAATATCTCAGGGGCTGCCACAAAGAAGAGGGAGTCAAGCTATTCTCCAAAGTGCCTGAAGGCAGGAAAAGAAGCAACAGATGGAAATTAATCAAGGAGAGAAGCCACCTAGAACTAAGGAGAAACTTCCTGACAGTGAGAACAATTAACCACTGGAACAACCTGCCTCCAGAAATGGTGATTGCTCCAACAGTGGAAGTTTTTAAGAAGAGACTGGACAGCCATTTGTCTGAAATGGTATAGGGTTTCCTGCCTGAGCAGGGGTTGGACTAGATGACCTCCAAGGTCCCTTCCAACTTTATTATTATTATTAGAGTAGAGTAGAGTAGAGTAGAGTAGAGTAGAGTAGAGTAGAATAGAATAGAATAGAATAGAATAGAATAGAATAGAATAGAATAGAATAGAATAGAAAGGGACCTTGGAGGTCTACTAGTCCAACCCCCTGCTAAGACAGGAAACCCTATACCATTTCAGCCAAATGGCTGTCCAGTCTCTTCTTAAAAACCTCCAATGATGAAGCACCCACAACTTCTGGAGGCAAGTTGTTCCACTGATTAATTGTTCTGTCAGGAAATTTCTTCTTAGTTTCAAGACTCTCCTAAAGAGAAAAGTGATATTCTAACCACATGGAGTTTCACATTCTTATTCATTCAGGTCTTTTGCATTCATTCTGCATTGCTCCAGGCAATAACCTGGGAGCGACAGCACCCAGACACCAGTTTCTGACCACATTGGCTAATCCCTGTTTAACGTCTCGTTCAAAAACTTGTCTTCACACTGACAGCCATTACAATTATGGAAACGTGAGATGCATTTTATGGTGGATCCTTGAAGCAGAACGAATTTGTTGAAACTTCACACGAGGAACCAGAAGGAGAACAATGTCTGTCTAACTTTTCTAGACTAGTGATTGAAAGTACAATTGATGGCAGCTTATTCCGTCAGCAGACTGCTACAAGCTGGAATCGCTTCAACAACCATATAGTACTAGGCTGTGTTCTTTGCTCATAGCAACTGGGGTTTAATTTTTTTTTCTTTGTCTGGCTTCTAATCATATTTCACTTTCCCTTACCAGCCTGTGTGAATCTCATTGAGAATATGCTGTTTTTTGGAACCATGTTTTTTTTTGTATCTTTAGCAATAGCAAAAGCAGACTTGTATACTGCTCCATAGCACTTTACAGCACTTCAATTAGAATAGAGCTGGAAGGGATCTTGGAGGTCTTCTAGTCCAACCCCAGGCTCAAGCAGGAGACCCTATACCATTTCAGCCTTCTGATGCTCTGAAAAATAGGTGGACCCCCTTGTCTTTGTATGAGCCCATTAGATATTGGAACACTGCTATCATGTCACCTCTAGTCTCTTCTTAAATACCTCCAATGTTGGAACACCCACAACTTCTGAAGGCAAGCCATTGTACTGGTTAATCAATCAATCAGAATATAGCTAAAACGGACCTTGGAGGTCTTCTAGTCCAACCCCCTGCTCAGGCAAGAGACCCTATACCATTTCAGACAAGTGGCTGTCCAGTTTCTTCTTAAACATCTCCAGTGTTGGAGCACCCACAACTTCTGAAGGCAAGCCATTCTACTGGTTAATTGTTCTCACTGTTAGGAAGTTTCTCCTTAATTCCAGGTTGCTTCTCTCCTTGATTCGTTTCCATCCGTTGCCTTCCATCCTTCTGAGATCGGTAAAATGAGGACTCATATTTTGGGGGGAATATTCTGACTCTGTAAACCTAGAGAAAAGAAGGACTAGGGGTATCACGATAGCAGTCTTCCATTATTTGAGGGGCTGCCACAAATAAGAAGGGGTCAACTTATTTTCCAAACCACCAGAAGGCAAGACAAGACACAATGGATGGAAAGTTGGGGTTGAGAAATCCTGTAACCACTTAGCTAGGAATCAAGACCATTTCTGATAGACAATTTTGGATAGAATTGCCCAGTTAGTATTTCTTAACTTTAATCCATGTGCACAAAGATGGAGGTAGTATTAGAATAGTGCATACCCATGTATTATACCGGATTAGTGTAAGAGTCCCTGAGTTGGTGAATGAGAAGTAAACTCTTCAAAAGGATGATGGAAATGCCAAAACAAATATCCTCTAGAGTTTTATATGTTATATTGAAGCCTGCAAAACTTACCTGCTAATAAAGGAGAATATTTGAAGCTTAGGGTTGAAATGAGGGGTCTTTGATGTTCTCTGAGCTTGGTTGTTTTCTTGCAGGTGCTTCATTACCAAACTAGGTAACACCACCAGTGCTCACCATAAGGGAGTATCTGGGTCTTGTGGAAGTTTCCAAAGTGGGGGAGCTACCCCCCAAATACCCTGCTCCTGAGCCCCCCATTCTTTAAGATCCCAAAGGGAGGAGAGCACAGCATTGTGTCTTGCATCAGAGAGACTCAATTTGGAGAAGACATCCCGTGGGCCCAAACCTTTCCTAGTAGTTGGAGTTACAAAAATGTCTTTGTGTATGGACTCTGTCATGCAGAAAACATTCAGGCAAGTTTAGGCAAAGAATGAGCAAGTTGCAAAGGCAAATGCTAAATCTGCTTTCTCTTGCTCAACTATCCCCAAAGTTACTAATGAGTCACTGGACATGTCAAAGACTATACAAAATCAAAATATTTGTGCCTTCAGGTCATTGATGACTCCTAGCAGTTATGTGGATAAGCCAGGCAAAATGTTCAGAAGTGGTTTGCCCTTGCCTCCTCCTCCTCCTCCTCCTCCTCCTCCTCCTCCTCCTCTTCTTCTTCTTCTTCTTCTTCTTCTTCTTCTTCTTCTTCTTCTTCTTCTTCTTCTTCTTCTTCTTCTTCTTCTTCTTCTTCTTCTTCTTCTTCTTCTTCTTCTTCTTCTTCTTCTTCTTCTTCTTCTTCTTCTTCCTGAGAGTGAGAAGGACTGTCCAAGATCACCCAATTGGTTTTGTTACTAAACTGGGACTAGAACGTTAACTGCTCCAACACACTGTTTCTCCTAAAAGTCCAAAAGCACCCTCAAAGCGCAAAATTGATTATCTGAGCATGCAACTTACCCTGCGTTGATATTTCTGCTGTCCTGGTGGTCAAATCGAGTGCTCTAAACCAGGTTCTTAAGGAGTTGTGGGTGCTCCAGAATGTACCTCTAGAACTTACCTCCAGAAGCTGTGGGTGCTCCATCACTGGAAGTTTTTTAAGAAGAGATTGAACAATTATTATTATTATTATTATTATTTATTGAATTTATATCCCGCCCTTCTCCTTGCGGACTCAGGGCGGCTGACAATCAATTAAAAATACACCAATAACAATTACAAAATTAAAATTAGTTAAGAGGAAATATTTAAATGTTGTCTAATTAAAATATGATTAAAACCCCTCTAAAAATTGCCCTAGGCCAGTCCCGCTTGTT